TCATGGTTATCACTTTTAATGCACCAATCGCAAAAATACACGAGATTTGTTACGTGCCTAATAAGACAAGCTATACTAAATCTTTGAAAACAAGACCATGAAAAAACTGAGAGATTTGTTTTCTTCCTCAATTTTTTTTTAGTCGCACATATCTCCTTGCCTCCAATGCTTTTTGAACACCATTTTTCTTTTATATCATATTAAGTAGGGATAGTCCCAGTTTAAAATTAAGGTTACTTAAGGCTGATACCTGCGTTCTCCAATTTACAAAGTAGGGTCCAGGTTCAACAGTTGTAATTAAACCGTTCAATTTAGCGTTTTCAATAAGAACATTTAGAATAGGTATCACTGATGGCCTGATGCCCTCCCTCTCTCTCTATTCAGTGCCAAACAAAAGAGGACTGCAGAGATGGAGAATGTTGCCGGCTACACCGTTACTGGTTTTGGCGAAGGCGCAGTTGCTTTAAACAGAAGACGGAAAATCAACGATGTAAAAAATCAACTGTAAGTGTGTTTCATTTTTATTCGGGTGGAAAGCTATTGCTTACACTTCCAAATTCTACCAACAGTCGATGAAAACGCTTAGCCTAAAAGAAATCCAAGGCAACAACAGCAACAAAACAATTTGAAATGATTTTCCAATGCACTTGCAGCAAAATAAATCATAGAAACTCATTTAAGTTTCATAGGGACAACTGACTGAAAATCTTGTATTCCAATTGATAGCCGGTATCGTATTTTCTGTTTTCTACAGTCAATCAAAACCTGTCATCTCGATTGTGCAGATGGCCTGGAGTGCGTAACGCGTGGGAAACCTGATGATTTTCGTCATCCTCATCATTATTTTAAGTGTGTTCGTCCTCTCCCACCCACTGAGGAACCGGGCTCTGGGGACATAGACGACTGAGGGGAGGATACCAGATGTAACACGTGACACATGTTTCACAAGTCGAAATGATATAATTACGATTGAACGTGTAGATTAGTGAACTGTTCAGATGATGAATAAAAAGTGTGTGAACTGATACGTGATGCATGGTGCTTGTCATGATTTCGATGCGTGATTCGATTTGCAGCACGTGATGTGTGAAATGTGTAAAGTGTGCCTTTGGCTTTTGATTGCACTTTTAAGGAATTGGTTCTGGAATTTGATTCCTGAAAACTGGAGGCCCTAAAAAAAAAGTACGATTCCGATTACACGCATCAGAGTTATTAAAGAAAGCTCGTCCGCTCCGTGATCGAATCGATCTATTTATGCTAGATCCATTGTAACATTATTAGCTGTTTGACGGATGCAATTCAAAGAGAAAACTTTGGGGACATGTTTGCATCAGTCACTCGTGAAACAATAGCATGAAGTGAAGAGGACGCTTTTCACTGTCTTAGNTTCTTTCCATCACTTTTTTTGAAAAGGTAAAAATCTGGACTTAAATAGGAAAGACTTATTCACAAATGTGCTATCCTCGAGAAAAACATCAGCGACGTATCTTGCAGTTTTTAAAAGCAAAATGAAGCCAGCAATGTTATTTGCTTTTTGTCTGGTGGTCGCTTTGGTTGCAGAATTTTTTGGAGAAGAAAATGACCATCGCATACGCAAGGTATTCTTTGATCGTTTTTTTAATCATTGTCTTAAACAGGGTTTTGTCCACGATAATGTAGTAAAAGTCGAAAAGTCATTTGGTCGAGGTAAAATAAAGAAACTTAAATGTACATCTGAGCCCTATGTGAGGAAAACCGAAAACGTTTCTTTAAATAAAGATGTCTAAAATGAAAGAGAAGGGTGTCGGAAGATCCTCTGCTGTAAGCTGAAATCTCCCAGAATCTTCACTAACGAAGCAATGCTCTGTATTACAGTGTAAGAAGAAGTGTAAAGTTGGGGAATGCTGCAGGATAGTCTGCTATTGATATGAATGCTTTCTACAGAGAGGACTGGGACAGCCTTGTCGCAAGAAGCCGCCTACTGTGAGTCAACGTATCCGTGCTCCTGTTTTATATTCCCTCAACTATCCTCACGAGTTGAAAAACAAAAATAAATATTCCCACTACTAAGTGGGTACGATTAAGGAAACTGCGCCGCCCTGCCCGAGTTGTATCTCGATTCTGCTCCCGGGGGGAATTTTCAGTTTAACCGGTACCGGTTTTCTTTAAATGTGAATTTGAACTTTGATGCGCACGACGGTCAAAAGAGTAGCTACACTTATCTTAACCTTAGAGTTGTACTATAACTTTCTTGCCTTGCCCGTCTCATACCAGTGTCCTCCTGTCTTTTGACTGGAAATTACTGATCATTTCAATGAAAGAAACGAACAAGCATATGATGAAAGATAGAGGGTCTGAGAGAGAGGAACGAAACTATTTATTACGGTAGTGTACACGCCGCGGGTGGCTTTGAAAGGTTACAGGATCGGGGCAAAAGATATATGGACATTTTCGTCTAAAAAAAAAAAAGAAAAGAAATTGACATTTTCATCTAGGTTTTTTGATACATGAGTCGAATTTAATATTAGCCTTTGAGATCTCCGTTACGAGAGTTCGCCAAAACAAATGAAACATGGAATTGGCAACAGCGATCAACTATACAGGAATAACTTCCTGTTTCATTGTTTACAACTTGTTGGGACATTGTATTTTCTTTTTTTAATTAGTATTTCTGTCACCACGGTTGTCGCGATGGACTGGCGTGTAAACGTGTCTGTCGTCCCACCCCTGCAGATGAAAGGCATCCTCATCACCGCAGGCGTTTCAAGTGCATCCGTCCTCCACCTACAGAGGAGCCCGGTTCTGGAGACATTTACGTGTAGTCTTACATGATAAATTAATAAACGTCAGCGCAGTCGGGCACCTTAAGCCAACTTTTGTTGTTTTTGTACAGAATCTTTCAAGGTCTTTAATAAAGGGTATTCGGTACGAAGTATATATCGTAAATTATTTGCTCAATACCTTTTCACTGCAATGCGGTTGTCTGATCAGTTGTCACAAAGTTTCTGTTATCGTCGATTCGCACGCAGTGTTTGCCTCCAAAAGCAAACTTCATACGGGAAAAATTTCCAGGAATTTTTCTCCAGTCAGAAAATACAAATCACGATTAAAATTGAGGAAATACACATTTGAAAATTGCGAAAATGTGACATTGAAATGCCTCGTTGAAGCGACCAAATGTCCGTTATTTTTATGAAATGTTTTTTTTTATCTTCCGCTTTATTGAAACGTGCCACATGGTTGTATATTTGCATGTAATAGCCAATAATCCACTTTAGAATATATGCTGGTTGTGTTTTGTTTTTATACTATAACAAATGAAGCAAAGCTTTTCTTTCATATAAAATATTGGTTAGAAAAGCCTGTATTGTTAAAGTTAGCAAACTCTCTCTCTCTCTCTCTCTCTCTCTCTCTCAAAAAAAAAATCGCATGGTGATCGTTATACACTATGATTTCGACAGAAAAGGAATGTTCTACCGTAACGAAACGAATTGAGAGATTTAGGCGCGAACTGTAGGAGGTAAGGGAAATAGTTCTTCAAGGGAAGAATTCACAATAGAGTTAGAGAGGAACAAACCTGAAATGGGGCGAAAACTTCATCAACCTCCTGGAGCAACAGTGATACTTAAGCACCACATACCTCTTACTAAACAAGGTCAAAGTTTGTACAGTTAGTAACAGTCGGACAGTTAGGTTTTTAGTCGTCGCCTATGTGCTAAAAAGGTGAAGGAGCGTCCATGTGTTACTCCACGAAATTTGGTCTTTAGAGGGAGCTATGACATGAAACTCCTCAAAAAAAGACTATGGCTAAGTGCTAAAACCGCACTACATCATACTTTGCCCCAGTTTCTCTTTGCATGAATTTTTCTTAGCGATATTTCCTGTGCAAGCTCTTTTCCTTCGATAGAGACATAGTTTGGAAGAACAGCACTTATTGCGAGCAACTCGTCAGGAAGCTTTTAAGAAATGTTCGTGTTTTCTCGCTGTCGTTTTTTAAGCGTTCTCCCTTCAACACCGTTTATATTTTTCCATGCCTTTATTTATTTACTATAATTTCCACGACGATATCAAAGAGTTTCCAGATGGGATTTGAACCCACCACCCTCCGTGATCTAGTCGGATGCTCTAACCACTGAGCTACAGGAGACTCTATGGTAAGCAAGGGTCAATTAGTGGGTATTGACTGGAACCGCATCACGCGGCTACACAGCCGAACATCAGCTAGCGCATAGAAGCTCACTAACAGCATCACGCTGTCACATTAAAGCATCACATGCATTAAAGCATCACATGCAGCCAACCAG